CCTGTGCGGAAACCCGGTGCGCACGCCCAGGCGGCGGCACACCGCGTCCTGAGCCTCATCATACTTGGCGAGGCGAAGTCGGGGAGGCCGTTCCGCTCAGCCCACTCCCGCCTGCACATCACCCAGGCATGCAGCACGGTTCAAGCGGGCGATGCGGCGGCGGCGGCATCCCGGCAGCAATAGCCCGCGGGACCCCCCACCCCACCCACCCTACCCACCACCCCCGCTGCCCGCAGCTGGTGCGCCTCCTTCGAAACCGCACCACACGTCAGGTGAGGGAGGGAGGCAGCCTGCATGCATGGCCATACGGCCCCATGCCTGCCATGCCCTGCAGGGTCCTGCTGCCGGGACGCAGCTGCTGCGACACCCCTGGCCGCGCCGCGCCGCGCGGCATGCCTGGGTGGTGTGCAGGCGCGAGTGGGCTGCCCTGTCCCGCGGGCTATTGCTGCCGGGATGCCGCCGCCGCCGCCTCGCCCGCTTGAACCGTGCTGCATGCCTGGGTGATGTGCAGGCGGGAGTGGGCTGAGCGGCACGGCCTCCCCGACTTCGCCTCGCCCAAGTATGATGAGGCTCAGGACGCGGTGTGCCGCCGCCTGGGCGTGCGCACCGGGTTCACGCACAGGCGAGCGCGCGGGGAGATGCATGGCGGCACGCCGGGCAGGCCGCCACCGCCGCTTGCCCAGCCCAGATGTCCCACCCTCGCGCCCCCACGCACACCCTCCAACCGCCCCTGCCCGCTTGTCGCTTTCTTTCCTGCAGCGGCATGTGCTCCGCGCTGCGCGGCGGCCTGGAAGCCCTGGGCGTGCACAGCGGTGAGGTGCCTCGCAACTGCCTGTCCCCCGACTGCGGCGGCCACTGCTGCCTGGGCTGCGCGCGGGGGCACAAGCAGGACAGCGTCAACACGTGGTTGGCCGACGCCTGCCAGGCTGGCGCACGCATCATCACAGGTAGGCGGGTAGGTGGTACCGGCGCGCGGGCGGTGGTCCTGTGCTGGTGCCCCGACCGGCAGCGCGGCTGCCGTGGCAGGCTGCCGCGCATGCGGCGAGGCCCCAGCTGTGGTCTGCCTGCAGTCGAGTGCGTGCGGCAGCCTGCCGAGCGGGCACCCTGCCATGTGCTGTCCTGGCAAAGGGGCCACGGCGCGCTGCTCTCTCCACTGCTGCCGCCGACGGTGGGCTGCCTGCCGCGCCTGCTGCGCTGTGCAGGGGCATGGGCCGAGCGCCTCATCCTGGAGCCAAACACAGGCGAGGAGGCGGGGGCAGAGGGGGCCCATGAGCGGCGCAGGCGCACGGCGGGCGTGCTGGCGGTTGCGGGCAGCGCCTCCGCGCCGCTCCGGCTGGCGATACAGGTGCATGTGGTGTGTGGTATGTGTGTATGTGTGCACGTGGTTTCAGCGCTTGCTCCTCCGCCTCGCCTTCACCTGCCCACTGCCCGCTGCCCGCCCACCTGCCGCCTGCCTGCCTGCCCGCCCGCCTTCTGCAGGCGCCTGTGGTCGTGTCGTGCGCCGGCTCCATCCACAGTCCCGCGCTGCTGCTGCGCTCCGACGTGTCGTGCCGCGGCGCGGTGGGCTCCAACCTGCGGCTGCACCCCTGCACCTGTGTGGTGGGGCTGTTCCCTCCGCGAGACGGCTGCCAGCTGGGGCAGCAGGAGCGGCAGCGGCAGGATGGGGAGGGAGGGGCAGGGATAGGTGACGTGGAAGACCTTGCGGCTGGTGCCGCCAGCAGGCAACGGCAGCAGCAGCAGCAGCAGGCCGCCGGCAGCGCGGAGCGGCAGGCGCCGCCGCCGCGGCGCATGGAGCCGGCGCCGGACGGCCAGGCGGGCGGCAGCATCCGGTGCTGGGAGGGCGCCCTCATGAGCGTGTTCAGCAACGATGTGGGAGACTGGGAGGGCTCGGGCTACGGCAGCCTGCTGTACACCCCCGCTGTGAGTCCCAGCAATCCTCGCTGGGCCGGCTGCCGCCCTCTCAGGCACCTCTGCACGCTCCACGGCACCACATGCTGTCCCATACTCCTGACGGCACCCCCTGCCCCCTCCGTCCTTTCACCCTGCCCTTTTCCCTTTTTTTCCCCACCCCACCTTCCCCTCGGTTGCCCCCCCGGCAGGTGCACCCAGCCTTTTTTGCGGGGGGGGCTCCCTGGGTGTGCGGCGAGGACTACAAGGAGCTGATGCTGCGTTACCCCGAGGCTTGCGTGGTGCGGGTACTGGTGCGGGACCAGGACGCGGGGCGCGTGACCGTGGACAGGAGGTGCGCCGCCTTGCCTGCCCGCCTGTTGGGTGACGAACACATGCGCGCCGCCGAGCCTACACGTACTGCAATTGTGCCGCGTGGGTGCTGTTCGAGTGTGTGTGCCTTGCACCTTGCGCGGCACGCAAGTGGCAGGCCGGCCCCCGCTCATTGACGCCAAGCGTGTGCCGCCTGCCTTGAGCCGCCCCCCCATCGCTGGCCAACACAACCCGCCCCCCTGCCTTTGGCGCTGCTTTCCCTGCCTTGGGCGCCTGCCTTTCTGTGCAGCGGGCGGCCACGCATCCACTACACTCTGTCCAAGCGGGACGAGGCTTCCATGGTCAAGGTGGGGGTAGGGGCAGGCAGGCAGGAATGTTCAGGGCAGAGCAGGGCAGCTGAGAAGCAAGAGAGGGCGGGCTGGAGGCAGGCCCGGGTCCGGCCTGAGCGGCCTGCGCCGCGCCTCGGGCGCTGCCGCCACCAGTGGGGTGATGGCTGGCCGGCACACGTGCTGGCCCACCCGGTGCCTGTAACGCTGGCTGCCATCCTGCTTGCCTGGCTGGTTGCAGGGTGTGGAGCTAGGCCTGCGGTGCATGGCGGCTGCCGGCGCCACGGCCGTCCTCACCTTGCTCAATTCCCCGGTCGGCCGCTTCACCTTCACCCACCCGGTGGCGGCGCAGGCTACCGGCAGCAGCGGCGGCAGCGGCGGCCTCGGCAGCCCCAGCGCCGGCGCGCCGACCTCTGCTGCGCCAGCGGGCGGCGGCGGCGGGGCGGCGGCGCCGCGGGCGGCGCCCAGCCTGCCGGGCAGCGCCGGCGGCGGCGAGGAGTTTGAGCGGTACTTGGCTGATGTGGCGCGGGCGGGCATCCCTCCTCTGCAGACCCCCCAGTTTTCCGCCCACCAGATGGGAACCTGCCGCCTGGGTGGGTGCCGCCCCCGCCGGCGCGGCCTGGCTGCCTGGCCCGCCCGCCGCCACGCCGCCTGCTGCTGCTGTCCTCCTGCCGCACCTCGTGGCATGCCAGGCTGGGTGCCTTGAGCCTGGAGCCTTGCCCCACCTGCCTGCCCGCCACCTGCGCGCCTCCCCGCAGGTGGCGACCCCAAGGCATCAGTGCTGGACCCGCAGGGCGAGTGCTGGGATGTTTCGGGACTGTACTGCCTGGACGGCAGTACCTTCCCCACCCCCACCGGCCTCAACCCGATGATCAGGTGCGACGTTAGGGTGGCGAGGCGTGCTGGCGGCGCCAGCATGGCAGATGGGATCAGGCCTCAGCTGCACGGGGGTAGGGGCGAGCGCGGGTGGCTGCGTGTGTGTGACCATGTTCTGATGTATGGAGCGGTGCCAAGGGTCCCATGCTCCGCGGTGCGGCAACCGTTGGAAGCTGCACTGCTGCTGAATGCGGCACTCGGCCTGCCTGCCCCCCCTTGCCGCCCACAGCATCGAAGCCATCTCTTACATGCTGTCCAAGCAGCTGGCGGCGCGGCTGGCGGCACAGCTGGCGGCGAGCGGCAGCGGCAGGCGGGGGGCCGGCAGCGGCGACAGCCAGCGCAGCGCCAAGCTCTGACCCATGGGTTGGCCTTGCGCCACTGCTTGTTCATCATCAACGTCAACACTGTTAGGGAAAGAGAAAGGGTTTGGCGCGCAATGTGAGACCCCCATGCGCTGCTGGGCGCGGCGAGCCAGGTGGAGGTCCTGCCCTGCCACGGCTTCAGAGCTCCCGCTGCTCGGGAAAGCTGTTAACACAGGTCGGTCAACCGCTTTTTCGAGCCGTTGCCGCTGCGAGCCATGGGTGCCGGCACGCTGCCTCCCGGCGCGCCCCCGCCCGCAGTGGGGGCCCCCGGCGCGTACCAGCCCCTGCCACAAGCCGCGGACGAGCCCGGCAGCTCCGCGTCGGCGCCGCTCTACCCGGGCGCCGCGCCGCCCTATGCGACGGTGGTGGTGCCTGGAGCGCCGCAACCCTACCCTGCTCACGTCTACCCTGCCGCCGCGCCACCCTCCTACTCATCCCCGCCTCCCCTCGCGCCACCGGTAGCGTCCTACCCTCCTGCACCGACGGGGCCGCTGCCTCCAGGTGGGCCCAGCCAGTCGCCTGCCAGCCAGCGCGGTGCACAGCCGTCCCTGCCTGCCGCCACTTCATGTCCCGCTGCGTCTGACTGGGGCCCTGCGCCTGCCATGCAGGCGTGGTGCTGGTGCCGCTGAGCGCGACCCCGATCGCTGGCATGGTCATGCGCCCGCCAAGGGTGGGTGGCTGGGTTGGCCTTTCTGCCCGCCGCTTGAAGCTTGCCGCTGCCGCCGCCGCGCACCCCTCCAGCCCACTATTGCTTTGTGCCAAGTGCTCGCCGCTTGTGCCGCCCCGCTGGCTTATATTGGGCTCCCATCTTCCCTTCACTCTTCTCGGGGCTAGCTTTCTCTTTCATGCACAGGAGCGCCGCTTGCCGCTGTCCTGCCGTGCGTCGCAGGTGCCGCCGCAGCCGGGGCAGGTGCTGCTTGGCTACGAGGTGTGCCGGCCGCGGGCCGGGTGCCTGCGCTGCGACGGGCTGTCTCCTGTGGGCCTGGTGGCAGGTGAGCAAGGGGCCGGGGGCGCGCACCTGCGTGGGGAGCAGGAGACCAGGCGGCGCTCCGAGATGCGAGGCGACACGCTCGTGCCGTGCTTGTCGCCGCGCGTCCCGCCCCCGCTCACCTGTGCCCACCGCCCGTCTGGCGGTACCCCTGCCGCAGTGATCTTCCTGCTGATGTTCTGCTGGCCGCTTGCGTGGGTACCCTGCGTGATTCCGGGTGCGTCCCCTCCCGTCTGCTCGGGACAGGCAGGCCGCCGGTGGCGTGGCTGGCAGGGACCCTGAACGCAGGCCCGCGCCCTGCCTGCCCGCCTGCTCATGCTGCCAGGAGCTGACCTGCTGCTCCTGCTGCTGTCCCTGCTGCCGCGCCATGCTGCAGATTGCTTCAACAGCTTCCAGCGCCCAGTGTACGGCTGGCGGCCCACGGCGGCGGGCTATCCCGCGCACCCGCCCGCGGCGGGCATCCCGCAGCACCCGCCGCACTGGCGGTGACAAGACCCCTCGATGGGGCGAAAGGCGTGAACCACACAAACAAACAAACAAATGTACTGTACGAACTCGTTGTTTTGCTGCATGTATGCACGTTCACTTTTGCTCTGCTCTGCTTGTGACGGCGCTGCCTTTGTGGTCGCTGCGACCCACCGCCTTGGTGCCGCTCTCAGCGGCAAAACTATGAAGCCAAACCGCGACGCGTAGCGGCGCCTGCGCTAGCTGTTTCCCAACCCAATGTGACTCTCTTTGCCAGAGTTGAACGGCGGCGGCGCCAGCTGAGGTGCCTTGCATGGAACATTCACCCTCTGTGCCGACGGGCGGCGGGCGGCGACAGCTGTCGCCGCGTGATGTGCAGTACACGCGGCGCCTTGAAATGCCTCCATCGCACCGCCGGGGGTCGATCGGCGTGCTGGGCAGCAAGCAGACGTGCTGGGCAGCAAGCATGGGCGCCGAGACCGGATCCTCTGAGGGTGCCCAGCAGGAGTCTGCTGCGGCTGGGTACCCACCCGCAGCCGCGCCAGGCTACCCTCCCCCGACCAGCGGGGGCTACCCGCCGCCCTACGTCGCAGCGGAGCCGCCCGGGGCGCCGTCGCCGCCTGCGCCGCCGTCGAGCTATCCGCCGCCGCCGCCGGCACCAGGCTACGGACCCCCGCCGCCGGCGCCAGGATACGGAGCGCCCCCGCCCGTGCCTCCACCGGGATATGCCGCCCCCGCGCCCCCCGGCGCGTTCCCACCGGGTGAGCGGGCGTGTCTGGACACACGCAGCCTGCTGGCAGCACGCTGCCTTTCTTTTTTCGTACAACCAACCCGCCCACCACCTGCCTATCTTCCATCCGCCTCGTGTGGCCCCGCCCTCACGCTGCAGGCGCCATCCCTCTGAACCCGGCACCCATCCCGGGCATGCAGACGCGCCCGCCGCGGGTGCGCGCTGCGCTGCGGCCGCTGGCCGCCAGGCGGGATGCGGCAGGGGCGTGTGCTCTGCCGCCCGGTTCCCCGCACACTCTGCTCCGCGCCTTGGGCCCCACCACCGCCGCATAGCGCGCGCGTGCGCACGCGCGCGCGCACACACACACCACCTCGCCACGCCACCCCATCCCATGCAGGTGCCGCCCCAGCCAGGTATGGTGCTCATTGGCTACGAGGTGTGCCATCCCCGGGCGGGGTGCTTCCGCTGCGATGGCCTGTCGCCAGGCGGCCTGCTGTCAGGTGCGCAGGTGCGGCGGTGCCCGGCACGCCGCCCCTGGTGCTGGCGGAAGCCTCCCTGGCCTGCCGGTGCTGTGCTTGCATCAGGGCTGGATCCCCCATCTGCCGTGACAGACACTGAGATGCCAACCAACACTTGAAAAGCCACCAACACGGTGGCCCTTACTCATTCACTTGCTCACTCCTCTTGCCTGCCTCCCTTTCTGCTCCTGCTCCTGCTCCTGCAGTGATTCTGCTGCTCATCTTCTTCTGGCCGCTGGCCTGGATTCCCTGTGTGATGCCAGGTACCCATGCGCCCCCCCTCCACCTCCCTACCCCACACACGCACACTAACGCATGCGCTGCGCGGTGCTGGCGGCTGCCGGCGCTGCCATGTGTCGCAGCGGTTGATCACGCGCACCCGCCCCTGCCCCCGGTGTGTGCAGACTGCTTCGACCCTTACCAGCGCCCGGTGTTTGGCTGGCCGGCGGGGCCCCCTGCCACCGGGCCCCCGCCCCCCCAGCCACAGCCACAGCCGCACTACGACTCCGCCGCCGGGTTCCCGCCTCCGGGGGCCGCCACCGGGCAGGCCAGCTCCTCGAGCAGCGACCGTGGCGGCGGTGGCGGCAGCGACGGCAAGTGAAGCGCTGGTGGAAAGCTGGGCGGCCTAGCTGGCGTGTGTGCTGGTTGGCATTATCTGCAAAGGCAATCGGGGTAGCCGCCCTGCCTGCCACCGCCGCCACCAGCGTGTGTCGCACAGCCCGGCAGGTACTGCCACCCCCTCCCAAACCAAACTCAAATTAGAGCTGAGCTGCTGAGTTTTCATGCTTCAGATGTGTGTTCTGTGCATTGGTTGTTGTTTTTTTCAGTTGTACAGCAACCGTAAGAAACTGCCCTAGCTCCCCGTCACCCTCCCGCCGCCACCCCAGGCACCTCCCCTGCCGCCGGCGCATCCGGCCGGGGCACGGCTGGCGGCGCTGCCCCTGCTGCCGCCGCCGCCGCCAGGTCGGCGTGCATCGCGCTCGTCAGCTGGGCCAGCACGCGTTCCTCCTGCACACAGGCACCAGGCAGCGGCCATCCCTCCTGGTCAGCTCTCACGCCAGATGCAGCCTGACACTTGCCCTCGCTCATCACGCCGATGCAGCCTAGCGTTCGCTCCTGGCTGGCGCCCTGGCTGCCCAAGCAAGCATCCAGCCTCACCTCCGCTGCATCCTCTGCAAGCAAGGCACCCAGCCCAGCCTCGCCGCCACCGCCGCCGCCGCCGCCCAGGCCCGCCCAGCGCAGCACCCGCAGCACCACGCTCTGCTCCACCCGCTCCCGGCTCAGCAGCGCCAGGCGCGGCGCCAGGCGGCCAGTGTACGATTCGAGGGCCTGCACCAGCAGGACCAGACCAAGAGACAATTCAGTTGTTTGCATTCCCTCACAGCTGTCAAAATGCCAGGAGCGTGGCCCAGCCGCTCACAGGCCTGCACCTCTGGTACGACAGCCCAGCCAGCAGCCTCAGCTCCTGCTGCTGCTGCCACAGGAGGCCAGCGGCCCTGGCATGATCCCAGTCCAGCCTGCAGCCTCGGCGCGTCACAAAGGCAAAGTTAATTAATCACTACCTGGCTGTAGTGCACCACAAAGGCCTCGTTGGCGGCGTCGAACAGCAGCTTGTTGAAGATGTGCTGCGGGTCGCCGCAGGCGGGTCGTCGCCGCTCGATGGCCAGGTAGCCCTCCAGCTCTGCGCGGGGCAGGCGGGCGGGGCGGCGGGCAGAGAGGCAGTGAAGTGGGAATGTGGCGAGCCTGTGCAGATGTTAGACCTGGACGAAAGGAAGGAGGTGCGTGCGCAGGAAGCAGGCAACGCAGCCTCCGCGCCGCGTTTGGGGGCAGTGAAGGCAGGCAAGACGGGGCGGCGGCTGCGGCGGCAGCGCCGTTCCACGCACCCAGCGGCTGCGCCTGCCCCGCGGCAAACGCCTCGGCCCGCTGCTCCCAAAAATACTCCAGCACCTCCCCAAGATACCCGCGCACGTGCTCCTCTGCAGGGAGGCCAGGCAAAGGGGTGCAAGCTTCAGCTCAGCGCTGGCAGTGAGGATTCCACATGCCGCGGGTATGGGGCATGCCCAGCCCTGCTGCGTGCTGCATGCTGGCCCTGCTGTGTGCTGCATGGCAAGGATAGAATGCAGCCCACCTGTCTGAACCACGGTGGCATCCTCCACGCGGGCCGAGCCGGGGCAGGAGGCGGCGTCGGCGTCGGCAGGCGAGAGGAGCACCGGGGTGCCCGGCGGGCTCCCGGCCGCCTCTGCCGGCGCATCGATGTCTGGGCTGCCAGGGGCGCCTGGCGCAGCCTCGGCGTTGCCAGCAGCGCCTTCCTCAGGCTCTGTGCCAAAGCGCAGCAGGGCATACGGGCTGTCGCTTGCGCTGCTGCTCTCCCTTGGGCTGCTGGCTGAGCTTAGCTGCTCAGAGGCCTCCTGCTGCGACACACGCCCAGCAGCCTCTGCTGCAGAGGTGAGCCGGGCAGCTGCTGGCCCCGCTCCAGCAGGTGATCCCGGGCGGCTGCAGCTGCCGTCGCCTGTGGCGCGCCGGCTGCTGGGCTGGGAGGCGGGCGACAGCGGCCTGCTGCCACCCGAGCCCAGCCGCTGCAGGGAGGAACCGCTGGCAAGCAGCTCGCCGGCTGAGGTGGGCCGGCTGCCTGGGTAGCGATCATCCATCGCATGCAGCGGGCTCCTGGGGCGCTGCAGCTGCTGCCGAGGCGTCTGCTCCGGCTGCGAGTGGGAGATGGAGGGCCGTGGGCTGCTGCCCGTCAGGCCCGCACGCGTCTCTGAAGGTGGTGGGCTCGGGCTGGCGGCAGCAGCAAGCACAGCTTCCCCACTTGCTGCCTGCTCCCCTGCTTGCTGGGTGTGGGACGCAGGCTCGCTCCCTGACGATGCAGCAGCAGCTGCTGCTGCAAGGCCCGGCTGCTGGCTGGCTGCCGAGGAGTGTCGGCGGCTTGACGGCAGGCTGCCATACTGATCTCCGTAGCTGATCTCCACATGGCTGCCTTCAAAGTCAGAGTCAGCAGAGTAGCTGTCCACGCTCTGCTCCGCTGCGCCCTCGCTCTGCTCTGAGCCGCGGGCTGCAGCATCAGCAGACGCCACCACAGAAGCTGCAGGCTGCTCCGCCTGAGCAGCGGCCGCTGCGGCTGCTGGCCGGGCCGGCATCTCATCTGATGCAGCGGAGCCATTTGCACTGGTGCCGGTGCTGCTTAGAGGAGATGAACTGTCGAAGCTGCGGCTGGTGCTTGCTGGTGCTTCCGGCAGTGCCGGCAGGTCCACATCAACCAGGGCCTCATGTGCATCGCTGCTGTGGCCCGCGCTGCCTGCAGCATCCGATCCCTCGCTTCCAGACGCAGTAACAGACTGTGGCTCTGCGCCTGGTAGGCATTTATTGTGTTCATCGTCCAGCACCTGCTGATCTTCTGGTTGCTGCTTCTCTTCTGCATCTGGCTCCAAACGCCGCCCCTCCTGCTGCATCTTGGTCTCGGCCTGCGCCACTGGCAGCGGCGTACATCCACCTGGCTGATGCAGTGCTGCAGCGCCAAAGTCCAGGCTGCCAGACAGCGTGGTGCTGCCATCTGGCGGCTGCGAGCTGCTGCCCGGGGGCAGCGGCGCCCCTGGCCGCCGGATGCTGGTCACGACAGAGACGGTCTTGCTGGTGCTGGAGATAATGCTGGGCACGGCTGGGACTGCCGTGGAGGCATGTAGGGCAGCTACAGTGGTGGGGGCAGCCGGGGCAGGTGCAGCAGTGGTCGCCACGGGCAGCGCCAATGGGGCAACAGCAATGTCGGCGGCTGGGACCAGCTGCGGCTGTTCCTGCAGCATTGCTGCAGCGCTGCCCACCCCTGCACCAAGCCCCGCAGCAGCTGCCGGAGACATGGGCTGCACGGTGTGTGCAGCTGAGGACTGCCGGCTGGAAAGCGTGTCCACCTCAGCTGTAGGCCGGTGGTCTGCATCTGCTGAGTACGCTATGCTGCTGGCAGGCGGCGAGCCAGCTGCCGCCGGGTCAGCCGCCGAAGCCTGCAGCCACTGGTGCACGTAGAGGTGCTTGCCCAGCAAGCTGTAGGCCTGCTGCTGGTGCAGAGGCTGCGCCAGCGGACTGCCTGCTGCCGCAGGCAATGCTGGCGCCTTGGCCTCCTGTGGCGGGTGCTGCGGCTCGGTCGGTTGCCGCGAACTTGTTAGCTGCTGCTGCTGCTGCTGCTGCTGCTGCTGCTGCTGCACTGGTGCCGCAGAGATGATGCTTTGCCGCTGGTCAATCTCTGCGCTGGCAGTGCCGGCATGGGAGGGTGCATGCTCCTGATCCTCGGCAGCAGCAGCGTCAAAGTGCGGCAGCAGCACGCTGTTGGTGCGCCGGTGCCGCACATTGGCTGGCACATTCTCTACGTCAGCCGCTGCATAGGCCCGCTCAGCCGCTGCCTGCTGGCCCAGCTGCTGCCCTGCCCCTGCTTCATCCGCTGGCTCGCGGGGCGGGCGTGCAGGCTGCGGGATGCCAAGCGGCGGCTTGCGGCCCGCCTTGGGTTCGGCAGCCGCTAACGCGCCTCTTCTTCCCAGCCCAGGCTGGCGTGCACTCGCCGCTGCGTCTGCTGCTTCCGGCAGGTGCAGCTGCTCCTCTATGAACAGGTTGATGATGCTGAAACGGTCGCCAGGGCCCTCCGCTGCCAGCAGCTCGGCAAGCAGGCCCACCAGCGGGTCTGGCAGCACATCAGCAGCTGCAGGCGTGTCTGTTCCTGATGCAGCTGGAGTTTCACAACCAACCCCTTCCATTCCGGCCGCCTGGTGGGGCCGCGGCAGCCGCGATGCAGCGCCTGGGCTGCTGCTGGGTGGGCTGTTGGGGCCAGGTCCTGGCTGCTGCTGCGGGTGCTGGGCTGGGGCCGAGACCCGGCTGCTGCTGGGCACTGCCAGCTGGGTGTCCAGCTGCTGAACTGCATGCGGCAGGGCTGCAGGCATGGCGCGTTCGGCGTCGCCGCTGGCAGCTGTGCCGAGGGGCAGGCGCGGGATGCCTCGCCTGGGTGTGACGCGCCGCAGCTGCAGCAGCTGCTGTTGCTGCGTGGGCAGGGTTGCAAGAACGCGCAGTCAGCATGCTTGAACGAGTTAAAATAAGCAAGAACAGGGCGCGTGTTGGCTTCAAACACACAATTCCCCACCTGCTTCTCAGCAAGGCGTGCCAAGCGGGCCGTGCGCTCCGCCTCCCACTGCTCCCGCTGCGCCGCCAGCTGCTCTTGCCGCTTGGCCGAGAAGCGCTGGTGCCAGGCCGCCAGGCTTTGCCGCACACCACGCCCATACTCTCGTGCGCGCTCGCGGCGCAGCGCCGCCTCCAGCTCTGGGTCGAGCGATGCGGGGCGGCCGTCCTGGCGTCGCCGCTGCTGCTCAGCCGCGCCCGGAGGTCTTGCTGCGGCAGCGTCGGGCGGCACCACCGCCATTCCTGCGTGAGGCCCGGTGCCACCGCCGGCTTGCTTTTGCGTTGGCTGCGCCGATGTTGACCGATGAAAATGCGTTGACGGCAAAAAGAGGCCGGCTGCTTCGCTGACAGCTGTTGCAAATGCAGTGGAAGGTGCAGCAGAATGCCGGGGGGCTTCCAAGGCCCCTCAGGCAATTCGGGCTGGCAGCTGAGCTGGCGACCTCTCTTTGCCTTTAGGGTGTTTCAAGCGCCACCAGGCACCGCATTCGCAACAATTGACGATCCACGCTCCATCAAGCCGGCGACATGGCGCTAGCATTGTGTGCAACCCTACAACACACCGCCCCTGGGCGGCTCGCGACAGCAGCGCGGCCCAGGCTGTCGCGGCCCGCCGGATGCAGCCACAGCCGCCAGATCTGCCGCGCAGAGCCGTCGGGCGACCAGCAGGAGCCGCCGCCCGCCGCCGCCGCCGCCACCGAGGACCCGCCGCCGCCGACGGCGCCCAGCGAGGACGACAACCTGCGGCTGCCCCGCGAGGTCATCCAGCGCCTCCGAGACACCGTCTTCTCCTTTGATTCGTTCTTCGTAACTTCCGTTGAGAACTACAATGCGGGTGCGTGATGCAGGCGGGCTGTAGCTCAGCGCCTGGTGGCCGGCTCTGCACCACGTCTGTTCTGCCGCTCCCCTGCTGCCACGCCGCCTGCATCTGTCCGGGCCAATTGAGCAGCGCGCCGAGATGGCTTCCCTGCTGACACGCAGATGGTGTGCTGTTCCGGGGCAACCTGCGCGGCGAGCCCGCCGCCGCCTACAGCAAGCTCTCGGCACGGCTCAAGGTGTGGCCGCAGGCAGCATCGGTCACCTCGAGCAGGACCCGGGAGGAGACCACAACAAGCATCACATACACGCAGGGCTAACAGTACGCCCATGCTTTCTTCTTCCATTCCATGCAGGACGAGCTGGGGGAGCAGTACAAGATCTATCTTCTTGACAGCCCAGAGGAGAAGCCGGTGAGAGCCGCGCTATCCCCGCACACACATGCTTTGGCAGTGGTCAGCCCGCTGCTGCCCGCCTGTGCTTCCCGTCGCCTCCTGTTTACCCCGGCTGCAGCACCAGCAGCTGTCATGTCTGCCAACCCTCTTTACCGTCATCCAACTGCTGCTACTGGCGCTGCTGCGATGCGCGCCCTCTTGCGATGCCCGCAGGTGGCGGTGGTGCTGCCGGTGAGCGCGGTGCAGCCGCAGGGGTCGTCGCTAGCGGAGACGGGCCTGGCGCTGCTGCTGGGCGCCTGCACGCTGGCCACCACCCTCAACATCAAGTAAGGAAGCCGATGGGTTGGCGGCTGCCCGCCACCGCCACATCACTTTGCCGCCACCAGCAAACCTGCGTCACCCCGTACCCCCTCCACATCCTCCATCCTCCTCCGCTCCTTCCCTTCTGGTGCCTGCAGCGGCGCCGAGCTGTTCAATGCGGCGCTGCTGACGGTGGGATGGGACCCGGAGCTGGTCGCCTTGGCGGTGCCGGGCACCCTCGCCTTCCTGGCCATCCTGGGTGCGGCGCCCTCTGCTGCTGGCTGGTGCCCTCCCGCCGCCGCCTGCATTCCTTCCGCTGCCTACGCTCTTGCCTCTGGCTTGGGTGTGCTGGCTGCATGCTGACGGCGGCGGCGCAGCCTGGCCTGCTCGCCTCCTCGTCCCGCGCTGCTCTTTTCGTGGTCCTCCAACCCTGCCGGCCTCCTCCCTCCCCGTTGCAGCCACACACGAGGCGGGCCACTGGGTGGCGGCACGGCAGCGTGGCCTGCAGCTGGCGCCGCCGCTGTTCATCCCCGCGGGGCTGGGCCTGCTGGGCGGCTTCGGGTCCATCACCCGCATCAAGTCCTTCGTCCCAGACCGCACCTCGCTGGCCGCGGTGGCGGCGGCGGGGCCGCTGGCCAGCTCAGCTCTGGCGGCGGCCATCATGGTGGCTGGCGCGGTGCTGACCGTGCAGCAGGTGGGAGGCGTGGAGCTGGACGTTGCGAGCTTCAGGTGGGCCGCTGCCATGCCCCGCCAGGCAAGCCAGGCTAGCTGCGCATTACGTGTTGCGTGCAGCGTTGGGGGCCTGCTTGGTGGCCCTGCGCACGCCCTGAACACGCCGCTTCACCCGCCGCTTCACCCACCCGCCACCACCACCACCGCCATCTCCGCCACCTGCCACACCACCCTCCCCACACCCGCGTGCATGCACCACGCCACACCTCGCCCCCACAACTGCCCACCTGCCCACCTGCCCGCCCGCCCACGCAGGGAGTCGCTGCTGGCAGGCACCATGGGCAAGGCCATGTTTGGCGACCGCCTGTTCCAGTCTGACGCCGTGTCCACCAACCCGCTGTTTGTGGCGGGCTGGGCGGGCCTCATCATCAACGCCATCAACATGCTGCCCGCGGGGGAGCTGGATGGCGGCAGGGTGTTCCACGGTGCGCTGCAGCAGCGGGGTGGTGCGTTGAGGAGGGAGGGCGCCAGCGCCCAATTGTGGCAGCTAGGCGAGGCTGCAGCGGGTGGGCAGCGGGTGGGGAGCCTGCTAGCTTTGATGCTGCTCCCTCCTGCCGGCATGGATGCTGCACTTCCGCCACCTCTGGCCCTAACCCACCACACGCCCCCACCCACCCTCCTGTCTCCGGCCCCCTCTGCCGTGCCTGCCGCAGGGCTGTGCGGGCGGCGGGCGGCGGCGCGCCTGGGCTCCATCACGCTGCTGCTGCTGGGCCTGGGCGGCTTCAACAACTCCCTGGCGCTCTTCTGGCTCATACTGGTGGTCACGCTGCAGCGGGGCCCCATCCCTCCCTGCGACAACGAGCTGAGTCCCATCCAGGAGCCGGGCACCAAGGCGGCCGCCATCGCGGCGCTCTTGCTGCCGCTGCTGGTGCTGCTGCCCTACCCCATGCCGCTGTCGTTCACGGGCGGCCTGCCTGACCTGCCGCCCACCTTCTGACCCGCCGCCTGCCTCCTAACCTCAACCCCCTTCTTATTGAATCAGAGAGACCCGCAGTCACCCACTGTTGCCCCATTCCTTTCGTACGCCGCTGCAACCTTTCTGTTTTTTATTTCATCGCCTGCATCTCTGCTGTAAGCCCTTGCTTTCAAGCTCCCGCTCTGATATCACACACGCCAGGCACTTCCAGATTGTAGCAAGGACCCCTTTCGGATGATGCAGCACGGGCCTGCCAGTAGGGGCTACCGCCGTGCCTGCTGCTGCTGCTGCTGCTGCTGCTGTGCCGCTCCCACGCCGCTGCCATTCGAGTAGCTGCCGCCTCCTCCAGAGGAGGAGGAGTCTTCTGAGTCGAAGCTGCCAGACAGCATCCCTCGGATGCCCTCGAGCGCAGCCCCTGCGCCGCCGCCGCTCTCCCGGGCCTGCCCCGTGTCCCAGGCTTGCGACAGGTCCTGAAGGGTGGGCAGGAGGGGAGGGGACCAGGCGTGAGATGCGTGCGCCAGCGCAACTGCCGCGACGACAATGCATGCCGCACAGGAAGGCTGCCTGACGCGACGCCCGCGTGCCCAGCCCAAGCAGCCACCCCTCCAGCCGGCGGGGCCTCGCCTTGAGCTGCTGGCGGTACTGCTCCATGCTGGGCAGCTCCCCGTACGGTACCGGCATGAGGCGGGTGCGCCGCGACAGCGGCAGCCGCACGCAGTCTGGGTCAAGCAGGTCACAGCAATCCACCAGCAGCTGCTGCAGCAGCAGCACGCGCGTCCAGCGCCTGCGCACGCAGCGCGCACAGGGCAGAAACAGCTTGGTTTTGCAGCGCTGCTTGCAGTGCAAACGGGGCACAGGCATGGCAGTCGCCCCGCCGCACTGCGACGCCCTGGCGGCACCAGGCGCTCACCCAACAGGGAAGGGCCCCTGCCCGTGCCAGGGCGCCCCAGTGGCCAGATCCAACGCATCCGCCTCAAGCTGCGTGTGTGGAGGCAAATGACAGGCCACGCTGTGTTCAAGGCAGGCGCCCACTTTGGGTTCGTCTTCTTCAAGCGAGCGGCACGCGCCCGAAGCAGCTGTGAGTCAGAGCCGGTCAGGCCCAGCCGCCCCTGCGCTGCGGCCAAACCTTGTCAAACCAGCGGCGGAAGGATGAGTCGCTGTCCCAGCGGTTATAGAAGTCGCCGTAGCTCTGGGTGTAGTGGCGGCGGGCGCCCATGGGGGTGGTGATCATGAAGGAGCCTGCAAGGCAGTACACGTACTGCATGGTACCCATGGTACTGCATAGTAATGCTGCTCTTGGGGCATTCCCTCGATATGACGCTCAGCCCAGCGACGAACCCAGCTCGAGCGCTGGCGAGCAGCACACAAGCGGCCGGCTCGTGGGAAGTGGTGGGCGGTCGCCGGACCCAACCCTGCGGTGCCGGCGCTCACCGATGGCGCGCTGCGCCCCCCGCGTCACGTGCATGGTGTCGGTGCCGGGGTCCCAGCCGCTGCTGTGCATGGGCCCCTCCCGGCTGGCGCTGTGCTCCCGGATGATCTCATCCCGAGACCTGCAACACACAGCGGGGAAGACGTCACGGGTGTGGTGGGTTGATGGTCATGAGGGTAGATGGCTGCACGCGTGTGTGTGTCATGTGGTGGTGGAGTACAATTCTGGCAGACGTGAGGGCTTTACCGCGGCACCACAGCATGCAGAGCACCCACACCGGGGCCGTGGCAGAGCAGAGCAGCCCAGGCGGGCGGCGGAAGCCCTCCAAGCACTCACTGGCGGCTGCGGCTGCCTGGGTGGGGGCGGCCTTGCCCCTCAAGGTACCACTTCTGCGAGACGCAGGCAGCAGGCGGGGCAGTGGAGCGGCGACGGCTGAGGCCTGGCACATGCCTGGCAGCCAGCATACTCCTCAGCGCTGCGCACGGCCAGCTGCAGCTCGGCGACCCCATTCCGCTCCCCACGGTGCGGATCACTGGGTCCCACCCAAGCATTCACACACACACACACACACACACACACACACAGAAGGCCGCCCCGCGGCGCACCTCCAGGCCGCTCTGCGAGGCACACAGCACAAAGCGCACGCCCTCCACCAGCGTGGACAGCGTGTCGGATCCCTGCGGGTTGCCCGCCTGCAGGAAGGCCTGCTCGCGGGGGCCCTCCCGCCGCACCACCTCCACAAATCCCAGGAACTGCGGCAGCGGCTTGGAAGGGATGGCGGGGCAGCCAGGTTGAGCTGAAGCAGCATAAAACAAGCAAGAACTGAAGCAGCGACGTGTTGCCCCGTCTTTGCACCATCCTTCAAACATCAAAACGGCGACAGCTCGACCACTGCATCATAGGCAGCGGCGGCGGCAGGCCTGGGCAGAGCAGGCACGGCAGGCGAGCGCGAAGGGGGCCGCGGCGCCTCCTCGCCTGCGCCAGCGTGAAGAGCAGGTAGCGGACCTCCTCCGCGCAGTCCTCGGTGCTGCGCCACTGCACCGGCCACTCTGTGATCTGCGTGGCGGCGGCGGCAGAAGAACGCGGCGGCAGCAGTGGGGCGAGCAGCCCCAGGGAGCAGCTGAGCGGCTCTGGCAGCACCAAGCCGGACGCCTTGCGAGGCTGCAGGCAAACACTGTGTCGCAGAGCCACTGGGCATCGTGCAGCATGCGCTGGGCTGTTGCCTAGGCAAATGCCCACAACAGCGGGAGGCTGGCCCCGTGCCGCGCACCAGGTGCCACAGGCGCTGCTCCAGGTCGATGGCCGACTCGAGGAGGGGCCCGCGGTACCGCGCCGTCACCCCCCGGATCTCCGCCAGCTGCGCCAGGGAGAGCTTGCCGCGCTCCAGCTGCACCCACGCACGGCGGCGGGCTGATGGGGCCATGGCGGCAGTGCTTGGCAGGCCCCCACCGGTAGGGCAGGCATGGCCGCTCGAGGTGCAGGCAGCGGCAGGGCCGAGGGACGCAGCAGCCGCCGGCTGGTGGAATGCGGGCCGCTGCCGCTCGCACCTCCAGCTGCAGCTCGGCCCGCTTCTTCTCGGTGACCACGCCGCCAAAGAGGTTGATGCCCAGGCTGACGGTGGCGCACGCCGCAGAGGCCAGCACCACAAGCTCTGGCTTGATGCCCATGGCTGCATGGGTGGGCATGGGCGCAGCAGGGCAGGATGCGTGGGGGAAGGGACAGTCTGGGGGACGGGCTGCACGCCACAACAAGCTCGCTGACAAGCCTGCCGCAAGGTGGTGTGCGGCGCCGGGCGCCGGCGGGCGCCTACCCGGAAGAACCTCGAAGCTCATCATCTCTCCCATGACTGCGGCTCGAACGACGTCCACCGCGTGCAGCCTGCTGCAGCAGCAGGGACAGTGGAGTCGGTACCAACCATCAGGGCGGGGACTGCCGCGGCGTGGCGGTGGTAGTGTGTAGCTGCAGTGACCGGCGCTGCATTCACCTGTGCCCTCTTGAGCACGGTGAGCAGCTGCGCCGCCAGAGGCAGCCCGAGCGCCCAAAGCTGGGCTGCTCTCCGAGGCCGGTGCGGCTGGCCGGGGCTCGCGACAGCCCAGGCATTCCCGCCAGCCTCCGGGGGATCGCTGGGGCCTGGTCAACAATTGAGGGCTGCTTGCAAGTTGCGGTGACAACCTGCAACTGTCGGCGGGGCGGCTAGCCCGTCTGAATACCTGAAGAGGAGTGCAGGAGCAATATGGGATTGTATCTCGAAGAAGAAGGAGAATGCCAACGTGGATGAGATGTGCCGACCGTCGCAGCGGTCGCAGCGCGCGTGGCCTCTACCCTACAGCAGTGCAGGTCTGAACTTGCAGTTGTACCCCAGTGTCTATGCTATGGTTCTCTTGATCACCCGTCTGGTGCCCTTGGCACAGTGGAAAATTGCAAATCGACCGCAGGAAGGAGCCGGCAACAGATGAACAGGCCCGGTTCAGAAGTCACGCCGTCGCACAGCGGCTACGAGCCTGCCGGCTGGCACACCGTCTTGTGCCAGCACCGCCAGTCGCGGGTCTGGCAGGCGGCGCCGCAGTAGGACGCCTGCCTGCAGGAGGAGCAGCGGCGCAGGGAGACGGCGGGGGGGCGCGCCGCCACGCCGCAGCAGGCGCAGCAGGAGGCCGCCGCCGCCTCCTCGCCGCCCCCTGCCGACTGCTGGCCGTAAATGATCTGGGGCCCCGGATTATCCAGCTGGATGATCGACCAGTCCACATCTTCTCCCTGAGGCCACAGGGAGCAGGTACAAGAGGGGGTGCATTGCGGCAGCGAATTGATGCTCAGGCTGGGCCTCGGGATTCTGCACCCGGTGCCCGCACGCCAACTGCGGGCCACAGCCACGGCACGCCAGGAGCAGCCAAAGCCCAGAAGCGTGCCCCCTGACTCCATTACTGCGCACCTGGATCATACGGAACGTGAACATCATCATCGGGCGCACGATGTCCTGGGCCTGAGGGTCACGGGCCAGCTCCTGCAACCGCCTGATCAGCCTGCAGCAGCGGGCGGCAGCTTCGGGCTGAGGGCGGGCGGTCCCTGGCACAAAGGGAGCAAAGCGTGCTGCAGCCTTGTGCGCCGCTGGCTGGGCTGACCCGTATCGCACTGTGCTGTGCTGTGCATGCCGCCCACCTCTGCATCGGTTGCAGCTCGGCGCCGGCGGCGGCTTGGTCGCCGGGCCATGCCTTCTGCCGCCGCATCTCGGCCAGCACCTCTGGCCCCGCATGCTGCAGCAGGCGAATCCACACGAGGCCGAGGTTTCCCGCCACGCTCAGGTGCACCTGGGGGAAGCAGGAGGGTGGCGGGTGGGGAGGTGAGTGTGCGGTGGGGGTTGTGCCGGGGATCCCCCAGCGAGCGCCACCAGGCACGGCGAGCGCAGCGCCAGGCACAACACGCAGGCAGCTTGGGAAGCAGCGGCAGCATCACGAGTCCGCGCCGGCCCATCAGCCTCTGAAAAGACGGCGGTGGTTGGCAGGGGAGTGGTGGGCGCACGCCAGGCGGGCGGGTACCTGTGGCAGGGCCCGTGCCACCATGTTGTGCAGGTCGGCTGTGGCGAGGAGGCGGCGAGCCACGTCGCCGTCGGAGCACATCAAGCCCAGCAGGCAGGTGGCCTGTGGTCAGCAGGCGGCAGGAGCGCTTGGGATGGCTGCGCCGCTGGCTGGTCGGCTGCTTGGCACAGCAGGCCATGGGGGGGGGTGCTTGAGAGCTCCCACCCCAGCACCAGCACCAGCAGCAGCGGCGGTGGCAGCAGTGGAAGCGCTCGGGAGCAGCGCTGACAGGGGACAAGCCAGCTGTCCCGGCGACCCAGCATGCGTACCTGGCGCAGCAGCATGCTCCAGACAGACCCCTGTGGCTGCTCTCCAAATGCACACGTGATCGCCGCCACCAGTGCCGCCAGCGTCTTGCCCAGCTGGCACTGCACACAGCCAGCATGCAGTGGAGTGTCAGGCGGGTGGCAGCGTAGGAGCTGGCGAGTGTGGGTGGCAAGCTGGTGACCAAGAGGATCGGATCTCAGGATCCACAAGGAAAGAAGCCAAGATGCAAGCACACTGCAGCATGCCAATGCGCTGCGTTTCAAGAGGCAGGCGCCTGGGATGCCATCAGCGGTCACCACCAGCACTGCTGGCACATGCTGGCACAAGGGTCACCCCACCTTGGGGTGCACGACTTCAGCCACAAAGGCATCCGAGCGGCGCATCGCGATCACCGTGCACGACATGAGTGTGTTTGGCACAGGGGGGCCGCCCACACTGTGCGCGGCCACTGCCGCGGCCAGCGCTGCGCGGCTGGTGCCGGCTGCCAGGATCGGCGCGAGGCGGGCTTCGAGGGCGGGCAGCAGCCCAGCTTTGATGAGGCTGCTTGGGGCCAGGGGTGAGCGCAGCGGGCAGGTGAGATGGGTGAGAGGGATGCAGGCTGGCGACAGCGGCGTTCCTGGCAGGCCGAGGAAGGGAGGTCGCCTGGGGTGGAGGCGAGCGCCTGCTGCTATGCTTTCCACTGCTTACCACTCAATGGTGCGGTCATCCGCGTAGTGCACCAACATGTACAGCATGCAGCAGAACTGGTGGGCGACTGCGGGGCTGCCAGCCAGCCCATCCAGCACCTGTGCCAGCAGCAACAGGCGGGGTGTGCGGTGCAGTGGGCGGGGCGGCATCCAGCGGAAACGCGGTGCAGGCGACAGCAGGCTGGCAGGCCGGTGCAGCACAGGCGGGTCGCATGAGAGGGGAGGGGAGCGGGCACGCACCAAGCGCACGAGGCCATACCGCCGCGCCTCAACCGAGCAGCAGGCCAGCAGGGGGTGCAGGGCCTGGATGTGGGATCTGACCAGCTCTGCCTGTGAGGCATGGGGCTCCGACACGAGCACTGCGGCAGCGAAAAAGGGGCAGGGCAGGGCAGGGCAGGGCAGGGCAGGGCACACAGTTGTTTTGGTGGCTGTAGGGTCAGTGGCGTGCACCCGAGCGGCATGGCACGCTGCTGCTGCCTGCTGCCAGTGCTGGGAGGTGGAGGTGCATGTGACAAGGCAGCAGCGCCAAGCATGCCGCTGCTGGTTTGGCCACGCCTACAGCAGCAGCCGCAGCTCCGCAACAGCGCCCTCCTCGAAGAAGGGACGCTGCTCCCCAGGCTCACCCCGCAGGCACTGCAGCGCGGCACCCAGCAGGCTGGGCTGCGTGAAGATGCGGCGGGCCTCAGCGCTGCGGTACAGAAAGTCCTCGGAAGGCGGTACATCCATCGCATGGATGCCGATGATCTGGATGGTGCTGATTGCCTGCGAGCAAGGCGGGGGAGGGGAAGGTATGGGAAGGGAAGTGTGTGCCAGGATGACGACCACCCCGCCCCCGCTAGCACCATCAAAGACTGGGCTGCAAGGGGCAGGGCGCGGCCCAGCAAAGCTGCCGTCCGTGCCCACAGAACGCCATGGCCCTCTGCCAAACAGCACCCTCCTATCCGGCAGCACACCTTCGCAACTGACATGATGAGCGTCTGGTCAGGCTTTCCAGCCATCATGCCGGCGCAGGCACGCAGGAAGAGCAGGCGGCCGTGGTCCTCCCCTCCCTCGCACAGCCGGAGGGGATGCGACACCGAGGCATCTGCACAAGCAGGCAGGCAGGCGGGCAGGTGAGAGTGTGCGGCAGGGGTGGGCAAAACGGCGCCGCCTACACAGCACTGCGCCATGTGCAGTGCCGCTCCGGCACTGACGCAGCACAGGCGCCGCCGCGCCGCGCCGCCAGCCAGCCCGCTCACTCTCGCTGGCCGTCCAGCCGATGAGCTGCACGGCGTAGGTGAGACTTAACTCCACATTGGGGTCGCAGCTGGCGGCGGCGGCGGGCTGCTGGCTGTTCGCTGGCGGCGCGTAGCGCTCCAGCAGCGCCCACGCGTAGCGCAGCCCCGGCTTGCCCAGCTGGCCTGCATCCCCGCTGAGGATGAGGTTCATGAGGGCTGTGCAGGTTGGGGCGTGCCACGCGGCAGGCCGCCGCCGCGCGGCCGCAGGCGTCAGCACCCCAGCCATGACACCCAGCAGGCCCTGCGTCGGGCGGAGGCACATGCCACGGGCCAGCCGAGGCAATTGATAAGCAGGGCGCCAGGGAGCCAGGCGGGCACCCCACCCCGCCCCTAGCTGCCCCTGGCCTGTCCAGACCGACAGACCAACCAGCTGCAGTGCATTGCAGTGCAGTGCAACACAGCAGGCAAGCAGCTACTGCACCAGGCACCCCACCCACCTCCTTGATCAGCGCCGCCCGCAGCTTGCTGCTGCACACCGCATTGGCCAGGAAGATCAAGACGCATCGCTGCTCCTCTGGGTCGCCGCTGCTGCCACCACGCAGGGGCTGCAGCACTCGCCGCGCCTCAGCCTGCGCACACCCGCGCGCCGTGCAAAGCCAGAGGCATGGTGTTGACAAACGTGCAGCCGGCTGTCCCGTGCTGTTGGCCAAACAAGGAAGCAAGCCACAGCAGCGCATGGCTTGCAAGGGGCGGGGAGGCGAGTGGGCTCACCGCCAGCGCAGCCTGCGACAGCGACCGCCACTCGCGCTCGAACAAGCAGCCATACACTAGCTCGGGGCTTTCCCTGCAGCAGCAGAGGCCGCTCTGTGGTGGCAGGTGGTCTGCTGCGTGGGCCAGTATTGCCAGTATTGGAGGGCAGGAAGCATGTGCCCCAAGCCTTGCCAGAGATGAGCACAAGGGGGGGGCGGCCCCCTGGCAGCAAACCCACTCACCGGTGCCTCCTCTCAAACTGCGCCTCCAGGTGTTGAATCATCTGCAGCATGTGTGCGTGTTGTGTGTGCGCCAGGGTGGGCAGGGATTGAAGAAAGCGGCAGCAGCCCGCCTGCCACAGGGGTCAGCAGCCGTGCCGGGCAAGAGGAGGCATGCCGGAAGAGCACCATGCCTTGCTGCTGCAGAGGGCTGAGGCATGCCATCTCACCCTGTCTGGGTCGTTGGTGTCTGTAAGGAAAAACAGGGTCTCTGTCGTGGGATCTCCACCCCCTCCAGGCTGCCCAGGCATCGACGCCGCACGGGTCGCAAACGCCGATGAGGCGCTGCCTGGAGCTTGGGCCGCGCCGGCCGCTCCAGCGCTGCTGCCCGGGCCCGCGACGCCGCTGCTGCTGCCAGGCGCATGGAGCATGGCCTGCATGGCAGCAAACTGTTCGGCGCCCGAGCCGGGGTCTGGCTTGGGCGGCCTCTGAAGCTTGACCTCCACGCCCGCCTCCCGCAGGCACCGCTGCATCAGCTTGACACACTGCAGGCAGCGGGGAGGGACAGAGGGTGAGCGTGGACGCAGTGAGCGCGGCATGAGGGGCCAAGGCGAAGCATGCCTGGCACCAGCCCGGAGGCAGCAGCGGCCGGCTGCCAACAACCATTCGCTGCCCGGCGCTGCCCGGCCCCCCCCGCCGCCGCTGCTGGCTTACCTCGCGGTCGCCACACGTGTCCTGCACCAGCTGCCACGTGGGCTGCCCAGCGCCTGCTATGCCTGGCGGTACGGTCGCCGTGTACAGCCGCCGCCGCTCCGCCTGCGGTCAGCACGGGAGCGACTCGCTTCAGCACATGGCCCAGTGAGCTGGCAGCCTGCCCACCCACATTGCAAGCAAGAAGGCGCCTAGCTCTACTTGCGCACCCAGCCCCACAATGCAGTACCCCTGAAGAAAGCCTGCTAGTAACACCACCCTCTTGCATGCACCACTCTGATACATGCACCACCCTGCCAGTAATGCAGCAAGTCGCTCCTACCATTGGCAGCCTGCGAGAGGCGGATAGCACCGCCATGCACGCGGCGGGGTGCGGCGCGGCATGCATGATGGCGTTGTCGCTCCGCCCGGCCACCGCAAGCTGCGCCCCGTGCTCCAGCAAAGCCTCCACGGCCGCAGTGTGGCCTTTGCGAACCGCCAACCATAGCGGGCTGGCCTCGCCTGCGACGGTCAAGCGCCCCAGATCACGCCAGGCGGCAAGGGCTCAAGGGGCGCGGAAGCAGGCAGGCAGGCAGGCAGCGCCCCAGTGCAGCCGCTGACCTGGTTCCCTGTTGGCGGGCGCGCCGTGCTGCAGCAGCAGGCGGAAGGCGTCGGCGCTGGTCTGGCCGGGGTGCCCCACCAGCAAGTCCAGCGTATACAGCTTGGATGGCGGCCTGCCGCCAACAGCCACCAGCCTGGCCACCTCGGCACCCGAGCACATGCCTCTGCAGGGCAGCGGCGGCATGGCAGGGGAGAGGTTGCGCAGGGGCAGCAGTAGATTGGTGGCGGCGGTGGCGGCCTTCCCCAGGCAGATTGGTGGCGGACAGCCTCGGGCAGATGCTGGCATTGTACCACAAGCACACAGCCGACCGCTGCCACGTTGCGTCCCTCAGGTGAAGGAATCAATTCAGTGAACCGCTGCCTCGTGGCATCCCCACCGGGAGAGCAAAACAAATCAGTGGAGCAGCCCCCTCCCCTGCCTCCTCACCGCTCAAGCAAGATGCGGGCACACTCCAGGTGGCCGGGCGAGTGCTTGGGGAGGTCGTCGGACTGCATCGGCTCAAACAGCGCTGCCTGCAGGCCACACGGCAGCAGCACGCTGCGGAGGCGTCGGCTCCCCAGCCAGGACCGAGCCGGGCTGGAATGCCTTGCCCCCACCAATTGTTGCGCCCCCGCCAGCGCGGCGGATGCCCGGGCACAGCGCAGCAGCGGCAGGGCCCATTTTGGCGTGCCTGCAGTGGCGTGGGGCGGCTGGTTGCTGGGGGGGTGGGGGGGTAGGTGGCCCCTCGCTCCAGCAGCAGCCGCACAATCTCCGGGCAGCCGGCGGCGCAGGCGTCCGTGAGGGGCGCCGAAATGCGAGGGTCGCCGCCGTCGACGGCAGCGCCGGCGTCCAGCAGGGCACGAGCGGACGCCACATGGGCGCTGTGGCAGGCCCGCTCTAGCGGGCTGCTCTGATTGTTGGCTCGCTCCTCGATGAGGCCCAGGCAGTAGCTGCAGGCGGGCACGGCACACAGCGGCACCCAGCAGCGGCACTGGGGTGAGTGCTGCCCTCCGGATCCGAGGCCCGCTCTGCGTGCTGGCTGGCAAGGAGCCGCCAGCCAGCCAGCATCCAGGGCACACTGGAAGTACCAGGGGAGGTTGGCAAACGCCGCCAACCACGGCACACAGGGCCCTGCCTCTCAGCCCAGAGCCCAGCCCTGCTGCCGCGCACCCGCGGGAGAAGAGCGCTTTGAGGCACTCGGAGTGGCGGCAGCTCTCCGGCGCACACGCTATGTCCGGGCACATCAGCGCTTGGGCTTCGATCCCGCAGCAGTGGTGCAACACGGTCAGCCCGTCGGCGTCTGCAGGGATTGGGGGGGTGGAGGGCATGCCTGCTGAGGTGTGCGGAGTGCCCCATGGCCCAGTCTGGGGCTCAGGCCCGAGCTGCTGCCGCCGCAGCAGCCAATCAGGCACCCGGCCAGCAGCCAGCAGGACTGCAGCATGGCACGGGGCACAGCATAGAGCAGCACGTGTACAGCACAGCAAGAACAGCGCAGCAAAGCGCGGCTCCGGCCCGCAGCACAGCATGGCACAGCACAGCACAGCACGGCCTGCGTGCCGGCACCTTTCAGGCTCAGGTTGGCCCCGCGCTCAGCCAGCAGCACCAGCGCCTCCCGTGCGCCCCCCATGGCGGCCATGTGCTTGGGACTGGCCTGCTGGGAGGGGCTGGGCGCGTTGATGTCGCAGCCGAGGGCCAGCAGGGCCTGGCAGCCCAGGGAGCGGGTGGGCAGGCAGGGTGGGAAGGCAGGGGAAGGGGCAGGGGAAGGGAGAAGCAGGCGGATGGTGGGGCATGGCGAGGCAAAGAGGTGAGCCGACTGCGGCCCGCCAGAGGCCAGGCCAGGCCTCCAGTTGCTCCAGACCTCCAGGGCAGGCAGCGCTGGGCAGGCCAGCCGGCGGCCTCTAGAGCCCATGCTGCACGCTTGCTCTCGCGGTGCCAGGCTGTACGCCCACACATGCCAGCTCTCACCTTGATGCTTTCGACTTGGTTCCGCCACGCGGCCAGCGCCAGCAAGCTGTGCCCCTTGCACCGGCCCTCGGCCACCCGCAGACCGGAGAGGCCCAGGGAGGCCATTTCCTGGGGGCTCATGCGGCCCCGCGGCTGGTCCAGTGCAGCGCAGCCCGCTGCCAGCAGCGGCTGGATGAGGTGCACGTGGCCGTGGCTGCATGCATGGCGCATGGGGGGCAGGGGCTAGGTGTGCGGCAGTGCATCATCCGTTGCATGCGGCGGAGCGCGCTGCAGCGCAGCTAGTGGCGGCGCGTTTGGCGGGCAGCTCGGCTCACTGGCGGCGGCGCGCGCTCGCGCAGCAGCGGCGGCGGCGGCGGCGGCGCCCACCAGAGCGCGAGCGCGAGGGCGTCGTGGCCGTCGGTCGTCAGCTGGCGGGGGTCTGCCCCCGCGTCTATCAGCATCCTCAGCACCTCCAGGTGGCCGTGGGAGGCAGCCACATGCAGCGGGGTGTGGTCAGGCTTGAACATGACGGGAGCAGACGGGTCCCGGCCCTCCGACAGGCACGCCGCCACCACCGCCACATCGCCATCCCTCAGGGCAGCCAGGAATGGTGTGCGGTAGGCCATCGGGCGGGAGGCCGCGGCAGCGGCACGCTGCGGCCGTCAAACGCCGGGCAGGGAGGGCGGTGTCGCGTCGGCGGTGGCGCCGCCACTGGGTGGCGGTAGGGTCACGCGGTGGGGCCCACAGGCGCCGCGCTGCCGGGACACCACAGCCGATGCCAGGAACGCTTTGCGATTGCCAGGGAGGGGACCAAGAAACCGTGCGGCAGTGGGGCAAGAACGCTTGCGAGGCGCCGCTGGGTGCGACCGGAGCACTTCCCTGCAATGTATTAGTGTGCGATGCGTGCAGCTGCGGGCTCCCGAGGGCGATCCGACGAGGGGTACACCCCCTGAAAACCCCAGCACGCGCTTCATGCTCCGCACGCACCAAATTTGCAGGGCAAATCCGCCTGGAGACCCTGCCCCGCACTTCGTATACGGTGCAATTGGAAGGGGCGCAGCGCCGCCTCGGCAAAACCTCCGTGCCGACTCTTTGCCCTCTGCAAAACAGCGCGGGCGGCAGCTCGCTCCTCCTGCACTCCATCCAGGTGCGATGGCCCGCATTGCGCATCACCACGCGGCTACTCCAGCCATTGGCAACTTGCCACCGCCGCCGCCGCCGCCGGGAGCGAACACGCCCACCACAGCGAACACAGCCGGCGAGGGTAGAGGGCGATCTCCTGCCCTGGTCCAGTGGCCGGCCATGCCCCGACCTAATCCCAATCTCCGCAGGCTGCCGGACTGCAACCATCATCAGGGTCGCTCTCTCCAGGGCCAGGCTTGGGGCGGCAGTGCCTGGGCGGTACGGCTCCTGTGGCCCAGCCTAGGGCGCCGCCGCCTCGGCTGCCTCCATGTCGCACCCCCGCACCGGCTCCCAGCCAGCGCCATGGAAGCTCAAAACCGACCTGTGCACGTTCTTCGCCTCGGCACAGGGCTGCCAGCGCGGCAGCGACTGCTGGTTTGCTCACGGCGCACACGAGCTGCGAGAGCCGCTGGTGCTCAAGGTGGGGCGGTGCCTGCGGCTGCCGCTGCCCCTGCCCCTGCCCGTTTGGCGGCTCAGCCACCCCTCTGTCTCACCAACTCTCCACCTGCATGTGCTGCGTGTCCTCCTGATGTGCAGGCAGCCGGCCAGCGTGCGCTGTCCGACCCAGCAGGACTGGCGGCGGATGTGGCGCGCCAGCTGACAGCCGCGCTGCAGGCTGCCGTCGCCGAGGCGGCCGCCGCGGGGCGCGTCGAGGGCAGCCCCGCCGCCTGGCAGCACCTGCTGGCGGCCAGGCGCCTGCTGGAGCAGGCGCCTGTGCTTGACGCAGCCCAGCTGCTTCAGGCGCGGTCGGCGCAGCAGCAGCTGGGGCCGGAGCTGTGCGCCATGCTTCGTGACCTGGAAACCTCCGCCCATGAAGTCTGGGCGGCGGTCAGCCGGGCGCTGGATGCACAGGGGGATGAGCAGCGGGGTCAGCAGATCCAGCAGCAGCAGCAGCAGCAGCAGCAGTACCCCTTGCCGTCGCCCATCCCAATCATGCCGGGGCAGCCTCCAGGCCTGGCCCCAGCTCCTAGCTTCTACTTTGGGGCTGCGCAGCCGCAGCCGCCACCACCGCCGCCGCCGCAGGCGCAGCCTGTGCGCCCCACCCTTGCAGACGTGCTGGATTCCATCCGCGCTGGCAGTCTCACCGAGGCGCTGCTGAGGGCAGGCGCCTGGCAGGAGCCAGATGCTGATTCCATGTTTTGGGAGGCTGCGGTACAGGCGTGCGACGTCGAGGCCCTGCAGGTGAGGGGCCCTTGCCGGTTGGTGCTTTCGGGCATCGCGCTCACAATGTGCCTGCGTGGACAGAGGGCACGCTGCGCTGGCGCCATGCTGGCGCCGTCCAGCCGGGGGCGACGGGGCGCCTGGTGCGCCTGTGTTGCAGGTGCTGCTGAAAGTGTTCAGCGGCTGGGAGTGGACCAACCTGGCGACCGATGAGGTGAGGTTGCGCCGGGCCTCGGCAGCGGCATGCGCAGCCCTGCAGCTAGCAGGACCACGATTGTTGCCGCTGTGCCCACCCCGCCTGCTCCCTTTGCAGCACCTGGTGTTCAGCCTGGTGGAGAGGGCACAGCAGCTGGGGTGGTTTCCTGTGGTGCCAGTGCTGCAAATGGCGGTCGCTGCAGACCCCGAGGTCGTGCGCCGAATGTGAGCCGCGCTGGGTGGGGCGGTTTGCTGGTACCGATGGGCAGATGCATTGCTGTGCCGCTTGACCCAGATGGTGGTGGTGCCGACGATGTGGTCGCTTGCTACCGCTTGCACTGGATCCACTGCTGCGGCCTGCATCGAGCCTGGGAACCCCCCTGCTGCTGTCCTGGTGTGCCCGCCTGGTGCAGGGAGGACGACGACGAGGGGAACAAGGAGCTGCCGCTGGTGCGGGCGCTGCGGGGTCGTATGTCGCCGCCGTCAACGGTCGTCAAGCTGCTGGTGCCTCAGGTGCGGCGGCGCGTATGCAAGCACTGGGGCCAGCACGGTGCTTGCGGCACAAGTGCCACGCGTGCCTGGCTCAGATGAAAGCCAGGGCGATGCCAGGCGCTGCATCACACGGGGCCTGCGCCGTCCAATCCGTGACGGCCCGGGTTGGCGTGGCGCGGCTGGCTGCAGGGCCAGCGGAGCGCATGGGAAAAGCTGCAGGTGTATCGTGGGGAGGAGCTGGCCATTGGCGTTGCGCCGGTGTATTCAAATCCTGCGCACGCTTACCTGAAGTCGATCAGGTGCACATGCCTGCCTGCCCGCCAGTCCCGACTGTGTGCCTCTCCTGTCAGCTGTGCCTGCACCTTGGATGGTGCTCCCCTGCTGGCTGCTGCGTGCTTGACGCAGGAAACGCTGCGCCTCTGGAATCACATCCCCGTTTCTGGTGTGCTGCTGCAGGGAGGAGGATGAGCGACGCGAGGCGCAGGAGGCAGCGCAGCGGCGGGAGGCGCGGGAGGCTGCGCGAAAGAAGCAAGAGCAGGAGGCAGAGCAGCAACGACTGGCAGCGCAGGCTGAGCTTCTGCGTATCAGGCAGGAAGCCGAGCAGCGGCGGCTGGCCGCAGAGGCTGCTCGGCGGCTGCGAATGCAGGAGGCGGCAGAGGCTGCTGCTCAGCAGAAACGGCAGCAGGAGGCAGCTGAAGCAGCGGAGCGTGAACGCTTCAGACTCTCGCCTCGAGTGAATCAGATGATGGTGAGCCACGGCCGAGCATGTGTCCTGATGCATGACGGCAGCTGCTCAGCACCTGCCGCCACCAGCTGGTCTAGTGGTACTGATGTGCTGCCGCCTGCCATGCGGCGCGCGTACTACCATCTGCAGGCTCTCACCGTGGCAGCGTCTGATGGGAACCTTCCGCTTTTGAGGGAGAGGTGGGGCTGGAAGATACCATCCCGGGACGAAGCCGTCGCTGTGATGCACGCTGCAATGGTCAGCGTCTGCCTGCCGGCAGTAAAAGAGCTCAGGCAGCTGTGGAGCCGCAAACGGCACGGCCACTGGCACGACATCGCTCTGGACAGCGACGGGTGAGGAAAGCTGGTTGCCAATTGGCCGGCTGGCTCCAGCTTGCAAGCTTGCCCGCCCGTCTGCTTGCGGCTGTCGGGCAGGCTGCGCTGCGTGCGCGCCTCGCGACAATTCCCCGCTTCTTCTCACTGCCTTCCCCTCTGCCCCCCGGCTCTCCCCCCTGCCTGGCGCCCGTCCCGCCAGGGTCCGGAAGCACGTCATCTTTGCTCTGGTGCAGCTCAAAATTGACAAGCAGCGTGATCCCGAACGGCTGAAGGAGTTGTGTGCCATCCTGACCATGCTGCTGCAAGCCAGCCCAGCCCTGGCCAGCTCCAGGTGGGGTCGCCTTGTGTGCATGCATGCCTCGCTGCCATCTGGCACAGAACACAGCTGGCTGCGCACGGGATGGATGTGGAGCCAGGCTGCCCTGGAGGTCCATAGAGCAAGTTTGCTGCGGTCAGCCGTGGCGTGGCTGTGGTGTTGGCTGCAGGCTGCACCGGGCCAGCTTCCCCACTCCACCTGCCGTGCCTGCCACTGCCTATTTTGCTCGCAGGGGCCCCGATGCACACACCCCGCTGGGAGCCGCGCTCCACAAGGGAGCGCCGATGGAGGTCATCAAAGCGCTGGCGCCACCGTCCCTGCCCGCCGCCGTCCTGTCCCCTACGGGCATATACAAGTCGGCAGTGGAGGTGAGTGCGCAGCTCCCAGCAATGTATTGAGTAGCCAGCAGCCAGCCAGCCACCATTCCAACACCTAGCACCTCAGGCTGGATGGTGCTGACTGGCGAAGCCACGCTCTGGTTTTCTGCAGCTAGCGGAGCAGCTGGCTTCGTGGCAGCAGCACTGGCAATGGCAAGCTTACTTCCGCGAAGCTGCAGCGTACTTCAAAACTCTGAAGCGATACCACGAGTGAGTGCATGCAGCTCGTAGCAGGGCCAGGCCGCACAGCCGGCGCCAGGCATGTGCCGCCATAGGGCTGTCGGTACATGTTGCATCGTGGCATGGGCGCTTGCCCGCCATTCCGAGCAAGGCATGGCATGGCATCCACCTGGACTCGTCCCTGCCCTTCCTGGCCTCGCCCTGTGCAGCGAAAAGATGGAGGCGGAGCGCAGGCAGCGGGTGAAGACGCTGAGCGCCGGCTTACGCGACGCTGTGGCGAAGCTGCGGGGCGCGGCGGAGGCTGGCAGCGCCGATGCCGTGACTGCGGCTCTACCCGCTGTCCTGAAGTCGGAGTTCAAGGTACGGGTGCGGTGTGCAGGTACCTTGCAATGCTGGGCAGCGAGCCGACACTGGCGCCTGCGCTGCCAAGGTGCCTGCTCTCCTGCCAAGGTGCCTGCTCTCCTGCCAAGGTGCCTGCTCTCCTCACCTTGCCATGTGGCGCGGTGGTGCTTCAGGAAGTGCACGGCGGGGTGCTGCCGCTGGGCGGGCTGTGCGCCACGCTCGAGAGCCACATGCGGTTGGCGCCCAACCTGGAAGTGCTGCAGGCGCTCGAGGCGGCCAGCAGGTGCACCTCCCGTAAATGGCGCCATTGGCAGATTGACGT